GTCGTAAAGCCGCTGTCTCGCTCAGGTACTGAACCCCTCGCCAGGACGCCTGTCCGGCCGAGCATCATTCAACTGTCCCTGGAGACACCTCACTTTCAGAGCTGCCAATTGCGCTGAATGTTCCGCCTACTGCTCCCCCTCGGTGCCCGACCACATGATGAAGATGCTTTCCGTACCACCTCCATGACCGCCATCAGTGCCTTCAGATACAGACACAGCTCTTTAAAGAACAAGGCGTCCCTGTCCGAGTCTGTCCCGGCGAGGCCATTGCGACGCTCCTCTCTTAAAACAAGCGCGCCTGAGCGCCTCCGGACCACGTCTTGTAAATGATCTGTAAATGGTCATTGCGCGGCTATGAACGTGTATAGTGTGGGTAACGCCCGAGTGGCTGCGTAATGCACTCTGTTACCGGAGCCCTCCATCGCTAATCGCGACACAGGGTCAAAGCGCAAGTAGGAGTGTTCGAGTGTTTCTGTTGTCAAGCGATGTTAACTGGTAGGTGGAGGAGAATGTGGTGATTTTGTGATATCGTTGCTGACATTCATGGTTCGCATTTGCTTTCAGACGCCCTCTGTCAAGTAAGCCTCGACTGAGCTAAATAAAACATTGGATAGTAAAGGGCATTTTTACACTTCGACTACACCGACATTGGTGATAAAGAGTTAATATCAATAGTCAAAGTTACCTGCCAGCTATTCACAGTCAAATGCTATTTTGTACAGACAAATTCTCTTATCACGCACACGCGGGCTTTGATTTGGGCATGACCAAATATTTTGAGCACATTCGATATCAAATATTGATGGTTGGTAGTGGATGTTAGTGGGTTGCTAGGAAGTCATGGAAGAGTGCCAGCAGTAAGATGGTGTAGCATGATACACATGAAAATTGCAGTTTTAAACTTACATTATCAAATCAACACCTTTCCAGAAAGTCAACAGTGCGGCAGCCCGCCAGGCCATGGACACCCCACCTTACGCACCGTTCTGTTCAAAATATGTACTCGAGACATCGAACAGGCCGGACATGGGCACCTTTTGCCCTGACGTGTCTCTGATGAACTTCTGGCTTAGTCAAAAGACGCGTTCGCATCTGGCGCCTGTGGTTCTTTTCTTGGAGAACCTAAACAATGTTTAACGCACTCTATAACGGTGCTGGTAACCGTAGTGGAGCATATATTTATCACCGGCAGCTGCATCATTTTGATGACGAAAGCAAACGTGGCCAAATGCTACCTAATGCTAATTTCTGTTTTGAGAAACTGGCTACAAGTTGGAGTTTGGCTCCAATCCACAAAAGCACGGAATATACGTGACGGAAAAGAACCAAATGCAGGCTTTGCAGGTGTTTATTGCTGAATGTTGTGAAGGAAAAGCACAACCAGCTCGCCTATTTCCAACAATGCCTCCGAGATCAATAACCTCATTTCCTATGTGAAAACCTTACGATCAGCCCTGACAGCGATCAGTTCCTGCAGCAACTGATCCCTAGCCCCATCAAAGTTTGGGGAGGGGGGAGGGCACGCCCCCCAGTCCAAAACTTGGGGAGGGCAAGCGTCCCCCTTGACCCTCCCCTCTGTTCCCGCGCCTATGGATGAGCGCAGTCAGTTTGCTACGCAGCGTTTGAAAGCGTCGTGCCGTTCGAGACAGATGGGCTCGAGTGCTCGCCACGCGGTGGTGCATTGGCTTCAGTACAATGCTGCAGGCTGATGTTGGTTGTGTTCATGCCGTGAAAAGCTGACTGGCAAGTATCATCAGTTTCGTTTTTTTAAGGTAACAGCGTTGAAAAGCCCTGCCGATCTAAGGTTGTTGGTTGTGGATACTTGAGCTGTAGCTTCAGAAGTAAATGGAGGACGTTGGAGCGACATGTATCAAGGATTCATCCGGAGCTTCCTGCTGCTGAGAGGAACAGCGGCTTTGAGGTGGGAGATCGAGCACCTCTGGTGAAGGCCTCGTACATTGCACGTTGCGCCTCAGACTTTGCGTACTGATTGGTGGACAGGTGCGAGATAAAACGATTTTAATTGTGATCGTATTGCATATAAAGCTAAATGAGTGTGCCAGAGGTGTTCAAAACGTCGTTTGCAGTTGTTGATAATAATATTGCATGGGTTTTGCTTTAAATAATTGGGATTATGTTGGAAAGTGCGAGCTCTGTACCAGCAATAATTATGCGAAGATAGCGAGGGTTGCCACCACTTCCAGCCAATTACGCGATGACGTCACGAAACCAAAAGTGATATTGTTTTGTCGTGCCTGTAGAGCCATGTTGAAATGTAGGGCTACAGCGAAGGATGTAGTTTTGCAAATTACGTGGGGGTTAGGGAGAAAGCAGGGGGGAGGAGGGTCAGAAAGAAGAAATGGCCGAGCCTGCTTACGAAATGCACTTAAAACCGTTTTCCCCTCAGATTTGACGCAATTTCTTTTCACAGTTAGAAATTATGATCTATGAAAAACGATGGATAAAGATGATAACTTAACATACGAAACTACATCTCCGGTTGGGAGGCACACTTCCCCTCCCCCCCCCGCACGAACCGAATAGGAAGCTACACGCTTCTAGGCTGATTATGTCAAGCGTGCGTTTATTTGATATTTTAGTAGTTAGTCTCAATCATCATTAGCATCTGATGGCCGGCAAATAATACTTTACTGCAAATGAGCTTCCGAAACAAAACAAAAAAACGTTTGATGTGTCATGCCGCATTGCACTTAACTTGTCTTTATTTTCCGTAGTTCATCAAATTTAGTTATATTGCAGCGGTTTCTGAAAGATGGTGACAATTTAGCTACTCGCAGATGACAATTTCGACGGTTGCAGATTCCATCGGTGACAGAAAAAGCTCCTTTTTCACCCTTGCGTTTGGACATGACCAGTCGGCGTAAAGTGTGGCGGACAGCTGCGCTTACTAAATTGCAAGCGCGAGATATTCACTGTGATCTGGTTAAGTCTGGCTGGCATCCCGCGCTGTAATGAAATTGACCTTTTGGATATAAGGAATCTCGTAGGTACTTTCAATGGTACTAATTTGTGCCTATCGTCGATACGATGCCATCTCACATACGGGCGCAGGCAGGGTGGAGCAGGCACAAGAGGCATATGGTCCCTGCGGTTCCTCGGGATCCAGGGGACCCCTCGGGATCGACGACCAAAGGGCCGATTGGAGGGCTCGAAGGGCTGAGGAGCTGGCCAGGAGTTGCTCTAAGGGCCTCCAGTCCACAGGGCCGGGCCATCGGATGTCAGTCAAGAGGCCTCTGGCGATGATTAGGCACAAGTCGGAAACATTGTACCCGCACCCCCGAAGTGGAAGCCGAACACATTTCCACCCCAGCTACTACCCCCCCCCCCCCTCCCCCTCCCCCGTTCAAGTGTGCGATCTAATACGTATTAACGCCGAACGGGAGTGAAGCGGGCAGGGAGACAGGAAAATTAGAACGGCTTTCAGAGCTACAATCCAACGCCTCATAGTTGTGATGGCAGAGTGGTTCGCTCCCAAAGAGATGGTCATTTTACTTGTACCAACGCGCAGAGTCTTCGGTCAGCGTCTTTGCAGCCTTGCATTGTACCATGCGCTATTGGGCGGGCCTGTTGCGTTGCTATCGGGCCCAAAAAACGCATCAGGAGACAAACTGCATCCTAGATCTCCCAAAATACCCAACAATTTAAAGATGGCCAGCAAATTGCGTCTGCTCGGCGTCAAAGTGCTAGCGTTTGCGCAGACCAGCGTATCAGGCCGGCGCGAAGACGGCCATGTGTCTTATACAAAAAACAAATAAGATAGAAATAAAAATAACGAAAGCTGTTACGTGCGTTTGCGCGGAACATTATGCATAAAGAGAAGACAGTACTAAAACACTCACTCCTCGTAGAATAGCCGGGAGAATGGAGAGATAGATGGACTGGTATTTCGGCTACATGTCTATTGAAACGAATATCAGTACTAAATTATTTCGTGAGGCAAAAATATTAGTTGTTTTTTGCAATACACATACCCGTCTTCGCGCTTATCATCGTAAGCAACCGAATTAATTATTGATATTCGTTTCGAGAAAGGCTTATAATCGAAATACAAATTCACCCATCCCTCCATTCTCCTCGTTATTCTACGAGGAACAAGGCTATTAGTGCTGTCTTGTCTATATGGACACTAAATAAGTTAAAAGCCAAGCTGGCATCAAATGATGTCTTATTCCATCACAGCGTTCAGAATCTCATTCCTCGCCCACCTCTGAGAGCACGCGATGTAGCGTTTCTCCGGTCCCGTTGCCGTTTTCAGTCAGGCGGCTAAACTGCAGTGATGCCGCCACGGACCGCTCATCGGCATAAGGTTTAATGCCGGCGGGGTACCTGCTTCCAACTGAGCAGGCCACGCCGCAGCTTGACAGCCCACCCCTCCCGGGCCCCAGCTGGAGCCCAGTGGGTCCACGTCAGCTTGGCACGCCGGGTGACCCCGTCGTATGAGGGACGGGGCGCGATAACCCCGATCGGCTGATGGCGTTCACCACAAGGAGCTCGCTGCACTCAGTACCGGGACGGCCGACAGGGAGTTGCTCCGCTCCAGTACTGTTTGAAGATGGTGCCACAATAGCTGGCACACGCAGCGTCTCCGATGCGCAGACCGGTGCGTGAAAGATAAGTATAGGTGAGCGAACATGATTTGTAATAAATGGTAAGACGTAATGTAAGCATGTTATACTACGTGAGTGTATGTATCATGCGAACCGTGATATTTCATATCTAGAATGTGCGCGCATTTGAATAACCCACTCCTTCCATTTAAAATGCACACCAAGAGCTCCCAGTCAACATTTCAGTACCAAATCGCACGAGGTGGTCGGAAATGCCGCGCTCCGAGACCAGCTCACCGCGCTCAACTGAACGACGATCGCTATGCTTACGGTCACTATACACTATACGATCTGCAAAATCTGTCAATGTAGCGTCAAAAAGTGCAGCGCTGCCTAATGTGAATCGTCGGCTTCTCGCAAACAACAGAAAAATTCTCTGGCGATGAGATGTGTATTGTCACCAAAAAAAGCCGGCCCCAACACGTCCTCTGTACAGCTTCTCGCAGGGCGCTTAGGCCTGCTTGCGGTCATTTCCTTTACACCATTTCCAACGTCACTTTACTTTTTTCATCTTTCCTATGCCCTTGATCTTTTTCTTTGAATACATTTTGGCAGGAGAGACTTTCTCGTTCTTGACTGGCGTCAAAGACTTTCCTTTCTTCGCATGTCCGCCGCGCTGGGCTCTCGCTGTGACCGGACCGGTCTTCTGTGCACGCGCACCTTTCTCGCGCAACCCGCGCCTTGCGTCGGCGGTCACCTGGCCCTGCTTTGCCATAACGCCTGACGCCTTCTTGGCGTGGCCGGCGCGGCTCTTCTGACCACCGCCAGGCCTCCCGCCGGCCTCGCCCTGGAGCGCGGCCGGGCCGGGCGCGGCGCCCGCCTTCTCGGAGGCCAGTTGATCGAGGAACTGTCGCTCCCGCGCCGCCAGCTCCAGATCCTCCTCGTCCGACGAGTCAGGCTCGGCCGCCGGCGCCACCGCCTCCGCCGGCGCCGGGGACTTCTTGGCCGGCGGTGGCTGTTTCTTAGCTCGCTTGCGGCTGCGGCGGCCGGTGGAGTTTTCCTCCTCCTCGTCTGTCAGCTCCTCATCTGCAGTAGAGCACGCAGCGATCGTAAGTGACGTAACGCTCGCGAGTGCCGCTACAGGGGCGCCGCCGGGCAGCGCAGCGCCGCAAAATGAACTTTATGCCTGCTGGAGACATGACATGCCAGACAGCGAAACATACGAAGGGGTCACAATTAGTTGTTTATGGGTGTTCTAGGATACGTCGACTGCGTTCGTCATTGTGCACTCCTGAGCACAGTAAGCGCAGCATTAATATACAGGAAGAGGGGCATCCGATGAGGCTGTCTTATTGCTACAACTAGGCCAGGGACACAAACAGAACGCACGTTTCTCGTACGCACGCATGCCATTACTCGTGGGTCTTCGTGCTGATTGCTACTTTACCGTCGACAACGAAACACTAATTGTCGGCGATTTATGGCAGGTAACAGCGAAAAAGGTCATACGCTACCTCATCAACGGAAGACAGATAAACACGAACACAATGGACATACTGGGGCTCACAAAAAGACAACATTTGCCAGAATCGATGTGGACTGGCCGCCACCACTAACCGTCGCTGAGAGGCCGCCTCTGGACCACCTCGACGTCGCCGAAGCGGTTGACGATGACGTCAGACTGAGCGCGGACGGTGCTCAGCTCGCCGACCACCGGGCTCCGGCCGCTACCCGGCTGACGGCGCGCCGCCGGCACCGGGACCGCGTTCGCCGACACTGCCGGCGCGGCGCGGCACGTTAGCGACACGGCCAGCACCCAGACCACAGGCGCTAGCTGCGGTGACGACTGTGGCGACGCTGCGGCCGCGCCACCCCCCAGACAGCTGCTGAACTGAGCCGAACTGAGGCGGCCACGGCACGCCGTTCCTGCTGAAGTGAGGCAGCCACGGCACGCCGGCCCTGCTGAACTGAGGCGGCCACGACACGCCGTCCCTGCTGAACTGAGGCGGCCACGGCACGCCGTCCCTGCTGAACTGAGGCAGCCACGGCACGCCGGCCCTGCTGAACTGAGGCGGCCACGACACGCCGTCCCTGCTGAACTGAGGCGGCCACGGCACGCCGGCCCTGCTGAACTGAGGCAGCCACGGCACGCCGTCCCTGCTGAACTGAGGCAGCCACGGCACGCCGGCCCTGCTGAACTGAGGCGGCCACGGCACGCCGGCCCTGCTGAACTGAGGCAGCCACGGCACGCCGGCCCTGCTGAACTGAGGCGGCCACGGCACGCCGTCCCTGCTGAACTGAGGCGGCCACGGCACGCCGTCCCTGCTGAACTGAGGCGGTCATGGCACGCCGTCCCTGCTGAACTGAGGCGGCCACGGCACGCCGTCCCTACTGAACTGAGGCAGCCACGGCACGCCGTCCCTCCTACACTGAGGCGGTCACGGCACGCCGTCCCTGCTGAACTGAGGCGGCCACGGCACGCCGTCCCTCCTAAACTGAGGCGGCCACGACACGTCGTCCCTGCTGAAGTGAGGCGGCCACGGCACGCCGTCCCTGCTGAAGTGAGGCGGCCACGGCACGCCGTCCCTGCTGAACTGAGGCGGCCACGGCACGCCGTCCCTGCTGAACTGAGGCGGTCACGGCACGCCGTCCCTGCTGAACTGAGACGGCCACGGCACGCCGTCCCTGCTGAAGTGAGGCGGCCACGGTACGCCGGCCCCAGCTTCTGCGCAGACCAGCTCCTACGCCAGGCTGGCTCCAGTTTCTGAACAGGCGACGCAGGCACCGGACGCTTATTCGATTCAGTCGAAATCGATCGCTGCTAAGTGGCGAGTCATTTAACAGGGATAAGGAGGACCCGTGGCATGAGTCATTTAACTGGGATAAGGAGGACCCCGCCGCATGTTAGCGTGACGGGCAGGATGTGACGTTGGATGCGTACTCTGAATCGCGCTGCCAAGAGCGGGGACCCATCGGTGGCAAACGTATTCGCATTAGCGACAGGTGGGGTGGGGGGGGGGGGGGGAGGGATTTGTAGCCTGCAGTGTGCACCCTGGCTGTTTTGCGCAAGCTTTGCGAAGAGCGTTCTGCTATTGACGGCTGGGAGAATTCCGCAGTAATTACTTCGACCGGCTAAGATGGTATCGCAAAACGCGTGTCCCAATAATGGTGCCCATTTATGGCAGCCGACACAACACCGATCTCGCTGGCCTTTAATGAACGACGTACTGGCGCATAGCTAATGGGGGCAATGGTGATTGGAGGCATAACAGAGCTTATGGGCTTGTAAATCCTAATGGTGTATATCTTAGGAGTCACACAGCCACGGCATGGCTGCCACGCATGTCAATGATATGTTCATTCTGTTCCTCGTCAAGCTACGCAAAAAAAAGGCAATTAAATGATACTACATCAAACCAATATGTCAAGGACATACCGGTAACGGGCCTACGAAGCACCGATTACGAGTCAAGCATGGTATCAGCCAGGGAACCAAACAGCAGCTTGCTGCATTCGGCGACAGGCTCCCAAATATCAGAGAAGCAAAAATTGAATTCCTGCACCCACGCTGAGGCCGCATGGGCGACAAAGGGGAGGGCGCGTCAGCAGTGCATGGCGCGGCACCAAGCCTGCGCTCCGCACGCCCTGCGCCGCAGCTCTGTCGCAAATCAACTCAAGGAAGGGTCAACTTGCCGTTGTTTAGCCAATTAGGCTGGCAAAACACACATGTATGGATTTCGTTGCCAGCTGATAGCTTCATTGAGGTTGGACACGCCACGCGTAACTTTGTAGCTGCATACTGTCGAGTGCATTCTGTCTTTTCCCAATTCCTGGCCACATCACAGCACGCCAGAATTCTAAGGCGAAACGCGATGATAAAAAGCGTTCGGCCCACTCATACCATTGCTCGACAACACGGAAAGACTGACCAGTTGCAAACGCGCGGTCAGAAACAATACAAACCCGCCCGACTAGTGTCGATAGCTATGATGACTCCTCCATTAACGCTCACCAAAGGCCACGTCTGGCTCACATCCCGGACGCGTACGCATCGCGCACTTGAATTATTGTAAGCCAGCTGGGCCTGCAGTCTCGGTGGTACCAAAATCGGGAGCGAGCCCTGCAACGGGCGGCCAAAATACGGCCCCTGGGTGAAACGCTCGCCCACGAACAGAACACGAGGTGCGCCCGCACCTTGCCTGGTTCACTCTATTGATTTCTGGGGATGACGCCTCGCGCTGTGCTCTTCCTATCTGCATGCTACAGGAGGCACCGCACCTGGTGGGCCGTGGGACGAAAGACGTGACAGCGGTGACGTCGACGCGTTTATCGTTGGCGTTGAGACGCTGACGTTGGGAAGCTAGGGTGTTGAGCGGAGGGTTGAGATGTCGACGATCATCATGCAGGTGATCGTGAAATATCAGTTTATGACACCATGCCCATGTGCAATTACGAATGAGTCAGCGCCGATTCACGTCTGGAAGGCACGCTTTGCATAACGCACCATTAAACAACCCCTTGCATGAAAAATAAGGCATCGTGCAAGCCTTAGTAAACCCAACACTATTGTATCACAAGGAAGAATGAAGAATTATGTTCGTAGTGCACCTGAAAAGGCGACATCCGCCACTTCCTGTGCGCTTTGTGCAAGGGATTGCAGCAAAGCATACGCCGGTAATGACCTGTCCGAGTCCAAAATGCGACATCCTGTGTTGCCGCATGCAATTTGAAATGTGTGGAACTCACGTCAGAGGCATTTGCGCAGTGCTCCCCTTCCATACAAAAGGTAGTGAGACTGCTCACCACCAGTCTGGCCAGCGGCACTGTAGGATAGTCTTTCTGACTCATATTTAGTGCTTCAGTATCCTTACATATAGCAACGAACAGTGCTGTAAATACGATTGCCTTTCTCTCCTTCAAACGATGTCGTTCGCCCCCCCCCCCCCCCCCCCCCATCTTAAATCAGTACTAGACACGGCTCGACCACCTGAGCAGCTGTTTAGCATTCAACACACATTACGTTTCCCGACGTTAATTGCACGGACTGGGACTGCCTTTTGTTCGCAGTGCAGTGTTACAGTACATTTTTACCAAACGCCGTAAAACTTCACTAGCAGAATAAGAAGCAATACCCTTCTGGACGCTAAGACATCCATATGCTATCAGAGGTTGCAGTTATATTAGCTTCTCGGAGAGTGCGAAGGTGGGGTCTGATCATACAGCTGAAGCCGAAAATTCGCTCCGTTAAAGAAAAGTTATCCCAACATGCAGCCTCCGTTGTAAAAACATGACTTCACTTGATAACCGCACCCTTCCTGAAACATTCGCAAAATCCCCTCAATTCTTACACGCCAATGCCACAGCGCTTTATGAACACGCATTGCCGACTTAAAAACAACATCCACTACGCCCCATTTCCACGTCAGCACTGCACTCTTCAACACTTCCGACGCGACAGCGGCCGGTGGCGCCGGCGGACCTCCTCCTCCCGCTCACCGGGGAGCGCGCGTCGCTTCCGGAGCGGCGCCCAAGCCATCGCACGGAGGAGAGGGGGGGGGGGGGGGCAGACCACGCCACCGCTCTTGGTTTTTTGGATTAGAGCCCTTTCGACCAGAAATGATCATTTCAGGGCTATGAGACGAACGAAAATAGTTAACGGTGGAGCAGACTCGCAAACGCCTGGGGGCCAACCGCCCGGCTTTAACCCGCGCATGCGCGTTGGGTACCCGGTCGGGGTCCCCTCCCACGGGGCTCTCGGCCCACTCGTAGCTGACGCATGCAGCCTGCCCCGGACAGGCGGGGCGTCGCGAGGACGCAGGATGAAGCGAGATAGGGGAAAGAGGGACGGATCTCCCATGCAACCGCTCGTCCGGTCGCACCCGGCGCGCCGCTGCCCTAGGACTCCGCACGCGTCGTTCGATCGCACGCCGCTCCCCCCCCCCCCCTCCCCCCCCCCCATGCGGTCGGCGGGCGCGACCGCGGGTGATGCCCTGTCGGCAGGGCCCTGGGCGTCGCTCAGTCCGTGCCCGCAGGCCTCGAGTCGGACCCAGCTGCCCAGAATAGGCCATCCGAAAGGTCAGCCGACAGCTGGCTGCATGGCCTTCCGCAGTGTCGTCGTCGCGTCGGGCCTGCTCTGCACGGGGCGCTGTCGGTTTCGAAGGCGGTGTGGACGGCGACGCGGGTCTGGCACGCGAGACGGTCCGGGCAGTGACCGGACTGCGGCCAGCGAAGCGTGCATCACACATCGCATGAGGTCAAAGGAACATACAGCGGCCAGTGGAGGTGACTGATGCGGGGCCAGTGGAGGTGACTGATGCGGGGCCAGTCACCGGCACACGTCTTTGTCAGCCGAAGCTGAACACAGCAAACATGTATGCCCTACCATTAAAACCGGAAATGAAAATACATTAGGTGCAGCCCTGCCCACAGTTATACAACTGCATGCATTACTGGCGTCAGTAAAGAGCGGATGGAGGCTTGAAAGGAGCCGTTTAAGTATGGGGGCAGTACGCGGCCGCTTCCGCCGTCAAATCCGGCGAGTCTTGTCCGCAGTCGGGGCTTTATGGCGCGTCGATGGCAAATGGTGACGCAGCTGATATTTCTTGTTACCATGCTATGAGGTAAAAAATGATACCTTATTGGGCGCGTCAACTACTTCTCACGCCCGCCAACTGAGCGAGTGTCTGTAAATGACACGTGACCCGATAAACTGCAGCCCTCCCGGTGAGCGCCATGTTCACAAACGCAAACACGGTGGTGTGACGTAAGCAAGTGATTTTCACAATCCAGCCACCAATCTCTCGTCGTGAGTCGTGAAAGCGCAGGTACAAGCCAGATGTCTGCACATGGCCCGCAATGGCATTCTGCGCGGCGCACAGTCCCGGTCCGGTGTGGTTTGCGGCCTGTTCACGACGGTGCGGCCCGAGACTCGTGCGGTCACGCAGTGCAGGCGGTCCGCGGGCACTGCGGCCGACGTTGCTGACCGCACTGGACAGAGGTGGAGGACGGCCGGAGGTCGATGAAGACCGCCATTACAGCCGATGTACGTCCGAGCCACGTCAGGCCGTGGCTTGCACTGGCTGTCACCAATCAGCTAAGGTCACGATTCCGTAAAATGGGCGTTTAAGTGGTCTCTCTTATGTATGCCAACCGTGTCCAACGTTTTAAACATGCACTTTCGATTTTAAAAACCATCGAATTCCTTCACTGAAAAGTGGGCACGTTAGCCGACAATAGCAGCAATGGTAGCTAAACAAAATGTATACACTTCTACCATGGGCACCGAACAGCGAAAAACTACCAAGAATTCCTCCGCCGAAAAATGAGCATCCCTGCTCACAGCGGCAGCCAACGTAGCGTGATACAGCTACCACAGCGAGGGGGGGTTTAGGCCCATCTCGGCCACGCCGAGAGAAGACAGACACGACACCCATCCCAATTTTGGGCAGGACCTACGGTACGTAATTGAAGATCGCATCACTAAATGAACACGCCATGTGGTTCGGTACATGCACGTAAAAAGCAAGTAACGCATACTGCGATAAAGCGCTAACATAAACCCATTAAATATGAGCGAGCTCCTTCTATACCGCTTCTTGCTCTCGTGAGCGTCTACGTTACTCTTTAAACTCTTACCGAAATGCCAGGTCTGAATCTAATGAATGGCGGTGTAATGGTTCAATATGGCCCGGCGACGAATGGCAAAGAAATTGTTGGAGCGTACATCTAAATCCTGTGTCAAAAGCAAATCCGACTGACAAAAGGCGAATTCTGGGCAACCAGCGTGATACGTGGCCGCGATAGGCGCCTTAAACTGACGATGCCTGAACCGGAGAACTTTAAATGATTCAACGTGTGCAAATTTTCGTTGAGAAATTTCGCTAGCCGAATGGGCGCTCAAAATTACACCAGCATATACCAAGAGTGTGAAATATGTCAGAACATTGGAAAAGGCTTCCCTACTGGATGCAGCGCCGGCCACCTGGCTGACGTGACAATCACGTGACGTCATCACGTCAAGTATATCACATCTCTCAAAACGCAACAAGACACCAACATCACAGCCACGCGCGGCCCACGCCCGAGCCCGCGCACCCCACCGCGCTCACCAGTGCTGACGAAGATGGGCAGGGCCACCGACTTGTCCAGCTTGAGGTGCAGGCAGCGGACGTTCTTCAGGCCGCCGGGGAACTTCTGTTTCAGCGTCTCCACCGCGGCCATCACGTTCTGGAAGAGCTGCTCCTCCGTCTGGCCGCAGCGGCCCACCTGCCGGTGGTCGGCGGCCGCCGCCCGGTCAGAGCGGTGCTGCGCGTGGCTCCTGACGCGCTCGACGGGTGGCTGAGGCGTGCTCTTCGCGCAAGGTTCGGCTGGTACAGGCCAGTTTACAAATAGGCCGAAAGCGAATTGGGGACAATGATGACTAACTTACGAGATGTGATATGCAAACTGAATATCAAAATTGTGGTCGGCCGATGCCGCTCTACCTCCCTTCAATCCGACAAAGGTGAAAGAACGGGACAAAAAAGACGTCACGTAAGAGGTGTGCTAGATCAGGAAAGCAACACAGACTGCAGCAGGTACGCCCAGTTGCCGCTCAGCCCACCCCACCCGTCCCCTCCTTCCCTGTGTCCCGTCGGGCGCGTCAGCCCACCACAGCGGCATCGAGCGGCGCCGCCGCCCGGCGGGGTCACCGGGGCGAGCGGGCGAGCCTGGCAACCGGGCGTGCCGGACCGGCTCCTTTGAAGTCAATGCTGTCCATGGCTCACCATCATGGCGCTAACGCTCAGCTCACACGACACGTCCAGGAACACGTCCTACCCAGCCCCCTCTTCCAATTCGTGCACCAGTGCAGGCGACGCCGGGAGGGCCGCCGCGCCGCGTCCGTCGCTTCGCCCGTTTACCGCTCCGACAACTCGGCCCCACGGCCAACGTTTCAGCGGGCGCGAGACACGAGCGGTAGTGAAGCGTCCACTCGCTCGGCCGCCACCGACGCGCCGCTCGCCGAAGCTTGCCACCCGCGGCCGAGCCACCCGGGGACGTCGGCCGAGGCGCCCGGGGTGGCGGAGTCGGCCCCAGGGGACGTGGGCGTCGGCGCACGGGGACGTGGGCGTCGGCCCCAGGGGGCGTGGGCGTCGGCGCACGGGGACGTCGGCGTCGGCCCCCGGGGACGTCGGCCGAGGCGCCCGGGGTGGCGGAGTCGGCCCCAGGGGACGTGGGCGTCGGCGCACGGGGACGTCGGCGTCGGCCCCAGGGGGGCGTGGGCGTCGGGACACGGGGACGTCGGCCGAGGCGCCCGGCGGCGTCGGCGTCGGCGCCCGCGGGGGTCGGCGAGTGTGGCACGTGGCAACACGGGAGACGATTCTTGTCATGGGGGTGCGGGTGGAATTCGCGCCTGGAATTGCGTTGTCGGGTGTGGGGTGGGGCCGTGGATCACGCGATACTGGCGCGGGCGGCAACATGGCCGCTGGGCTCCGCACGAGACGGCTGCCAGTCGTGCAGGTCCTCCACAGACGCAGCGCAGCGGAGGGCCGCCACCAGCTGTATGTTGGCTGAGTTGTGCTCTTGCTCGAAATTCTAGGCCATCTCCCCCACACACTGCTACATGATAATGCAAGCTTGGGTGTTTGGGCTCGTTCTCGGGGTACTTCCAAGCACAGCCTGAAGCAACGTGACTTTTCGGCATAGCCCATGCATCATATCTAACAGCCTGCGCACCTAGTCACCGGCGATGACCGAGGGACTCAAGCACGTATGGGCCTGAAGCTGGAAGGTGAGCGAATGGCGCTGCGACATCCGTAGCTACACGCTATTAACCTCTGAGAAAACTCATTTCAGTTCACCTAACGTAAACGAATAAGGCCGCGGTTTGGTTACAGGAATTGGAAAAATAGCAAAATTGCCGCAGGTTGGTGACGACTCACACCGCCAAGAATGTTCCACGGCCCTAGACCAGCTCAGCCAATCGTTCATATAAAAAGTTATGTTTGTTTACATCGATCAGCTCTCCGCCAAACGTTTACTTCCAGAATCTCGAGATGGTAGCGTTTTTGCTTTTTGCTACACACAGCCTGCGATTAATCAGCGAACTGTTATTTGACGTTGGAAGCATATGTTTTAGAATCAGCTTCGCCCAATGGGACCTACCAATCATGTGCTAACGTGCCTCTTAGGGAAGAGATGTTATACCAGAGCGCACGCGTCAGGCACTTTCAGAAAGAAAGTGGCCCGGCCCAACCGTGCGCATCATCTGAGCCATCTATCCGCTGAGCCCCCTTTAGTCTGATCCATCTGATCCGTCTGATCCAGATGATCCGTCTGAGCCGCCTGACCCACTGAGCCAACCCCATCCGACCCCTGACCCTCGACCCCTGAGCGCGGCGCTCACCTGCACGGCGCTGGAGTCGCCGCTGTTGTACAGGTGCAGGTAGGTGGAGTTCAGGACGCTCACCTGCACGGCGCTGGAGTCGCCGCTGTTGTACAGGTGCAGGTAGGTGGAGTTCAGGACGCTCACCTGCACGGCGCTGGAGTCGCCGCTGTTGTACAGGTGCAGGTAGGTGGAGTTCAGGACGCTCACCTGCACGGCGCTGGAGTCGCCGCTGTTGTACAGGTGCAGGTAGGTGGAGTTCAGGACGCTCACCTGTACGGCGCTGGAGTCGCCGCTGTTGTACAGGTGCAGGTAGGTGGAGTTCAGGACGCTCACCTGCACGGCGCTGGAGTCGCCGCTGTTGTACAGGTGCAGGTAGGTGGAGTTCAGGGCCTGGTCGATCTCATCGGCCAGGTTCTTGGCGTCCATCTTCACCGTCACTGGCTGCCTGTGAACGCCGCTCAGTCACAATCACAGTGTGTCCAAAGTCAAGGTTTTTTGTTGGAAAATGACAACTTGGATGGCATTGAGCGCCGACATCGAGATCTCATTTTCGAACTCATTTCGCAACTGCGAGTCCTTTCGTACTTTTCCGCCTATCAGTAAATCTCGCACTAATGACGGATTGCGTTTTTACTGAATTTGGTCCCCTACGGGCCTCCGCGAAGACATTTCGGTATCCATGACACCTTGGACGGATGAGATTTTGAAGCACTACATGTCTAGCGTCCGCGCATGGAAGCGTGCAATATCAACAGGCAATGCAGTAAATAAGCAGTAACTACAGATCTCTGGCAAGGAAGCATAAGCTGCACGTGCGAACAGAACAAAATGGAGGATGCGACAAAATAATGGAAAGCTTAATATCAAACTATTTAAGAGCTGAAATTTACATAAAACATCCACTTTGCAAATTTTAGTGCATTTAAGCAGAATCCTCCAGGACGTCTTTCTATCCCCAGCAATCCACGTGATATGCTGCGTTTTTTGTTTCAAATGGTTGTTCATGACGGCGTGGGATGTTTAACACCATCAGCACTCCATGAACCGGGGCCGATCCCGTTAAAAAAGAGCGTTTTGTTTCACAAGCAGCTTCGGAACCCAGCTCCGTCACTCCACGCCGAATTCCTTACAGTGTCTGACGAAAAGTTGTCTGTGTTTTACACAAAAACAAAATGTGCCGTGAAAACTTTGCGCTATACGCAGTACGTACAGCAGTATGTTTCACTTGGTGCCTTCCATTCCATCCAGGAGCTTCCTCTTCGCACCGCGGTCAAGCTGCATAGTTTTGAACTGAGCATGGACCTTACTGCGCAAGCAGCCGGCAGTGGCGCCCTCTATCCTTCCACCTGACGCGGGGCTGGCCTTTCCACCCAGATACACATCGCCCGTCCACCCGGGGCGACCTCGTTTAACGGAGGACTCACTTTTTCTTCATGATGAAGTGTTTGCCGAGCAGCGTGGGCAACAGGTGAGCGATGCAGACGTCGGTGAGGAAGATGTCGTACGAGTTGCACAGCTTCCGCTTCGCCTCATACATTGAGTACTCGGCCTTCAGCTGCCGCAGCGGCATCACCTGCGGCAGGCTCTGGCTCAGTGTCTGTGGTAAGCTCTAGGTTGTCTTCTGAGGAAGGTTCTGTGGTAGCGGTAGTAGTAATTGGGTCTTGAGGAGGGTTGTGGACCACCATTTACCTTGTCTAGAATCAGCATCACTAGGCTCATCACCTTGGCCCTTTGCATACAGAGGCAGGCTCTAGGTTATAGTCCCCCGCCCCCTCCTTTCAGCTGTGAAGTTCAGACACAGCTGGTGTGCAAGAGACTTTGAAGCTCCTGGGCTGATCAAAAAAGGTACAATACCATACCGGACACACTGTCATGCAAACAGTGCAGCAGACCCTCACACAGCCACCGCAGCGCTGTTACGTAGCGGCATGAGGTCAACAGCTCAACGTGTAGGCCCCAGTGAGTGTTGTGCGTGTGTGACATGACGTGTCATGTACGAAATGTGACTGTCTCCGTGGCACTCGTTGGCTCTGCGTGACATTCTGCCGATGAGTAGCCGCAAGCTCGCGGTGGATGAGTCCACGGGCAGGCCTCGCTCGCTGCTGCCAGAAAGCCTACGGCGGCAGTACTTCCGACTTGTGCACGGTCTGGCACACATGAGAGTGCGGGACACGCAAAAGCTCGTCTCCCGGCGTTTTATGCGTCCCTCTTTGTGCCGAGATATCAAGGAGTTGACCCGGGCACGTTGCACCTCGTGCCAACGTGCCACGGTACCTCGTTACGCACGGGCCCCGACGCTTGGTTTCATGCCGCCGGACGCTCGTTTTGACCCCGTCTGCATCAACACTGTACCCGGCGCCAGAGAGGTTATCGCAGACCACTCCGTGTGCGCCGTGGTTGGTTGGCTCCGAACTTCACTGCTACCTTCATGCGGACCCCTACAGCTCTCTACCGAACGCGGCCGGTTCCGAGCACCGAGCTCGTCAGACCATCCGTGCTCGCCACGGCCGCGAAGCGATCCCTCCGGTGCTGTGTGGCATTCGATGTAACTCCTTCCGCGAGTGACACGTCTGGGGAGGGGGTAGTGTAGCGGCACGAGGTCAACACCTCAACGTGTGGGTCACCAATAGGTGGCGCCAACGAGTGCTGCTGTATGTTACATTGCGTGTCATGTAAGACCCGTGAGTGTCTCCATACTTTGACTGCAATGTATTTATGTTGGGAAATAACATGATTTATACGCCTTCCAACAACTGATTGCTAGTGTAGTTATTTTTGGCCGCTAATGACATACTGACTACCATAACTGGACAGATATTTGCTACTGTGAAGTGATGTGGTCGAACCGAGCCATGGCGATGAATGGATTATGCCATGCAACCTGACAACGGAGTGCTTCTCGCTCTTCGTGATCCGTCCCTCTCTGGAAGCGTTTCCCTTCCTGTCAGTCCGGGCCGGCATCACCTTGATGCCGGCACCGGTGTTTCACACCGGACCAGCACAACCACCGCAGCAGCGCTAGTCCCGGCCAATCGGCCGAAATCAGCCGGTTGACAGCACGGATCCTGCGGTGCAGGTGGCCACGTTTGTGTTGCACTGCACGGGGGCTAGGGTTGTCAACTGAAGAAAACAATAGGGCAACTCCTGTCACCTTTCTCCGGTGTCGACGAAGATAGTGATGAACGCGACAGGCACGTCCCACACGACGATGCACTACGCATTCTGTTTACGGAGATCCCCGCGGGGACGAGCAGATTCCCGCTCAGCGAGGCAGACGTCCGGGTGTCATCAGCTTCGCGAGGGGGAAAGGGTGGGGGCGCAAACAGTACGAGCATCGATGTCCAGGGTCAACACGGTGCTGGGTGCCCAGACAACTCTGGAAACACTGCGAGCAGACCTCTGGGAGGCTTGGTCTCATGGACTTGCCCTTGACAGTACGCTTGCCTTGTTTGAACTGAGGGCCCATGCTTGGGCATTTTGAGATGTCACATTTCACAAACACATCACCTACAACATGAGCAACTGAGCAAATGGCAAAATTGCTTAACAGTGTGTCCAGACATGCTCGAATCCTGAACCTGGTCCTGCCCAGTCTGACCCTGATCCTGCCCAGTCTGACCCTCAGCCCGACCAGCCTGACACTCAGCCCGACCAGTCTGACCCTGAGCCTGCCCAGTCTGACCCTGAGCCTGCCCAGCCTGACCCTCAGCCCAACCAGTACTGACCCCGAGTCTGCCCAGTCTAACCCTGAGCCCACCCAGTCCCACCCTGAGTCTGTCCCAGTCTGACCCTGAGTCTGCCCAGTCTGACCCCGAGTCTGTCCAGTCTGATCCTGAGCTTGCCCGCGGCCCCATCCTCAGCAAGCCTTCGGCCCGGTCCTGAGCTGGACCCAGTTTGACTCAAAGCCTGTATTCTCCTGTCATGACCATAACCCAATGACCATGAGCCCGACCCAATGACCTTAGGCCTGACCCAATAACCCTATCCCTGACCCGATGACCCCGAGTCCAACACCACCGAGCCCTGACCGACCTCTGAGACGCGGGTGACGCCCGCCTCCTCCAGCACGGCGCGCCAGTGGCGCAGCGACTTCTCATGGTCGACGCGGATGCCACGCTTCAGGTCCTTCACGAACAGGCACGCGTCGGCCGCCTCGGCGAACGGCGCCGGCAGCGGTCTGCAGCGAAGGACAACGTCACGCGTCCCGGCGGGCGGCGCGCATCGGCCCTCCGGCGGGGACAGGCGACAGGGGGAGGGGCGGCCGGGCGCCGCGTGCGCGCCCGTCCGGCGACGTGCGAGGTCGACATCACCCGGACTACCGGGCCACGGCGCTGCACAGCTGGTGTCGGAACGTCACGCAGCACAGGGGAGAAGATGGCGGTGAAGATGTTGCAGAGGGTATTGTCAGGAGAAGTGAGGGGGGGGGGGGGCACCAAGCAGGTGCATGTGAAAGTGTATATTATGAAGCTGTTCTGGCAGCAAATACCAGAACTCAGTCTTACACAGCCTGGTCAAAAAACATGAGGAAATAGCTAAAACATGGGCCTCATCATTGGGATGTTTCCAAGATAGCACTGACAACCACACTATCACTACCTATACAGCTCCTCTAACTCCAATGGTGCTGACATGATACCATGGTCATGTGTTCCTGGAGCCCGTTCTAAGCCAGTAGGCCCATTTCTAACATGCAGCCACATGTGAGGAAATGCAATTTTAAGGGAACCTCAGGTCTTACCTACCCAGTTCATCCACATCATGCATCTCTAAGAGCAAAATGCATCATGGCAGCAAACACTTTTTGATATGAATAACAAACTGCAACAGGATACACCATTTAGAATTGGCAACACATAGCATTTTTCTGGAATATAACTGGCTGCAATATTCAACTTTTGGAGAACTTTTTTAGTTGGAACATCTAATGTCATGCATCCTTCAAAATACTCACATTTTAATTGTTTGCTTGATACCTCCAGGAGCTACCTTGACAGCAGCTATTTGAAGCATGACCTTCATATCATCATGGTCCAGAAGTGTCTCCTTTTTCATTTTCTTTTTGCAGAGCATCAGGGCCTTGATACCTGCCCTTACCTGAAAGAAGGCATTTTTGTTATTCTAATCCAGCCTGACCCTTGGAACAATAACCTTTTTCCTGTAGTGGTAGGGGACAGTGTTGCCAGTGTCTTAGAAAACACACAAGATATTATAATATATTAATCTTATCAAAAATATCTTGGAAAATTTATACTTCAAGTTGACAACCCCACTTCTTTGGAGCTCCAGCAATGTCACCAAAGGTTTTGGAGTTGCGGAGGGTACCAACCAGTTCCACAGGATGACTGCAGTGGTGGCAGATTACGGGCCAGTAATCGGCATGAGCTTTCCTACTGGCCTCATATTTCCTGCATTGCTCCCACTGGAAAACTTAGAAGTTCAGTAATGAAGTTTGGTAACTGAGGATAGTGAGAATTGTGCTGGAAAAATTTACAAAATTCACATACTATGGTATCCATGTTAACACAAGCTGTGGCACCACAAAATGATCAAAGGTATATCAAACTACCTATCTATTTAACTACAAAAAGCATATGTTATACAGAGCATGCAAAAGAAGCTGACAAACAGTGGAGCAAGCTGGTGAAACAGTGAAGCATGCTGGAATATCCTGGCATCAATTTTAGAGCATGCAAGGCAGAACTCTGAGATATTTCAGTTAAGTGCATGACCACCACCAATTTCAGCACATGCGATGCTGATGCTGCGATGAATTGCAGCGTTCCCAAAGTAATTTCTGGTAAGACTAACAATGCCCCAAACCAAAATCTAGCAAACTTATCTAGAAAATACATGAAATTTGACCTGGCTGGAGTTCATTATGTGCATGCTCCAGATTCAGCACACTAACTTGATAATGTAAGCATTAGGCATAGTAAGTGGATTTTTTTGCAGAAAAAATAATGTTATTAAACACAAAGCACAGGAAGATTTACCAGCCAACCATAATGTTCCATACAAGAATATGGATTCTAGGCCAACATGGCAATATGTCCATGCAAGAATATGGACTGTGAAACCACTGTGACAATGAGTCATGCAAAAATCAGGGTTATTAAACCACTGCAGGAATATGACAGCACATTGCAATAAAATGAAGATGTCTCATAGTCAAGCACACTCCATGGCTGTGGCTGTAGGTTCACAAATGAGTTGGAAGCAGGAAGCAGCAAACAATGATGAAACCTACACACAGAAAATGGTGACACACTAATGCGATGAGTTTGACCAATGTTAGAATCTAGAACACCATGATTGGGAAGCTTGAGCTCCCAAGCAGAATTGGAAAGGAAAAGGCAATGTAGCTGCTCAAATCAAAACTTGCGGTCCAAACCAGTTTAATATCTTGCCACCCACATGGTTTAACATCGTAATACAACACCAATGAGGCACAGTGTCCTAACAAAATGGGCACTCTTCAACACCCCATGTATCAAGCTTTCACGGCATCCCTTACATGAATACACGCATGGTGAAACGAAGTGATACAGAGTTCACACCTTAACCTGTAAACACTTCTTAAGACTCCCGGCTATATCTGACTACACTTACCTGACCCTCCATGTTTGATGCTGAAAGCGGAGCAGGCATCACACTGTTTGTGATATATTTATGATAAGGGAGCTCCCAGTCCCCACAACCACAACCCCAAAAAGCTGCGAAACAGATGGACCCGCTAGCAAGAACTTGGAACGCGTCTGTGCCAAAACGCATTGGCTACATCGGCCATCGTCGGCATGAACGCGCAGCGTGGTGTTCGGATTCAATGCGCAAGAAACGCAGCAAAATTTCAGTAGCTCTGCGTAGCTAAATTATATAGGTCGCTCCCCAAGAAAAAACACAAAACTAAACCTTTTCTTCTGGACAGGCATCCACGAATACATCTACTACTGGGCTTTTCTAAAGGTTTTTGACGACCGACACTCATAACAGCATTAATATGTGTCATCAAATGTCGAGTTAAGTTCGCTGTGAGTTGACGATAACGCAGACGACGTTGATGACGTTACCTAGCGTCACAGTCTGAGTACCAATAACTGGTGGTTCAGAAGCTAAGTGTGGAAAATAAGCCCCAATCAAATTGAAACATAAATTAAGAATACCCACGCACTCAACGAGACTTAAAGAAATGCTGCAGGGTGTTAGAGGTAAGAGTTCAAGCGACATGCGTTTCTAATGCATTTCTTTCCATGCAACGCCATGAATGTAACGCTCAAATGCACAAAAGGTGGAGGATGTCTCCTCCGAATCCCTCACGCTCTGTGTTGTTATCAATGCCAAGCGACTGATACACCGGAAAGCTGAACCGGGCTCATGGATTTGTGCTGCTGGGTTTATCGAGACGTCTTTACACTGGAAGTGCTCAGTGTTTTGTATAGGTGGCGGCACTTCCCTAGCTCCGTACCTCAAGTTACATTTGTGGCAGGTCAGTGCACTCACCCTCACAATCGCAATGGTGGAGATCCCCGCAAGACTGGTGACTGGAGCTGGTTCATATCTAGTACAAAGTTAATTATAGCATCCACAGCTTTGCTGAATGACCATTTGCAGTCGACGCGGCCAGACTCCTACCGGACCGGCAAAGTCATAATGCACTGATCTGCGCACCACCTTGGACAACTATCGCGTACCGTGTACCCACGTAACTCTTTGCAATTGTGTTGAAGAGCTCATCAGCACTTCTAAGGTTCTGTGACGCATGTAAAATACCCATTGCATTGGCACGTAAACGCCAAGGGCCGGTGAAACCTCCCAAAAGTATGAGGGGGGGGGGGGGGCAAACCCATTCTTGAAGTTGATATTTTCAGTGCGGTAGCATCGGGCGTCTACGTTAAACTTCCACAAACAGCCGGAGGACAATGGTTGGTTCCCTGTCACTCCCCTTTCCCTTCCATCCTGCGCCTGTACCTACATCGCACGCACACATCGGCACACGCCCTGAATCTCCGATTTCGTTCCACTTTGTTTGGCTCCCGGACCGGGTCTGTGTTGAATAAAGACGCAAGTCGAGTCATGCCATCATCCGTCTGCTAGTTTGGGTACCCATATATGTTTCGATTAAACTGAATGGTAACAACGTTACTGTACATGTTCTATTCTAACAATCGTCTGTTCTAGGAAGGACGATTATTGATTTACTGATTGGTTTGTGGTTGAAAGTGGTAGTGTATTGAACAGCTCCGGCACAAATACTGTCTTGCCTGACAAAAACTCGTGTGATTCAGTATTTCAGCATTTCATTATTTCAGTGTAAGTATTTCAGCGTTAGTCGGTTCGGAAGGAATTTGAAGGGGCATTTATGGAAACTGAGCTGCTTACCAAAGCGTGGAGTATACAGTGCCGCGTATCATGCAGATGCAGACGTCCAAGTCGTTAGACAAAGAAATATTCGTCGGCATTAGATGATGCAGCAGTAACGGCACAGAAAAGAATAGACGTTGATTGCAAGCCTGTAGGTGACGAGGCTCTTTGCATGGCGTTATGGATGAAACTGCATGAGCGTATAAAACTCCCAAGTCATCGTACGTTAATCGCTACTGGCATTTTGCCGATGATGCACACATACGAACAACATAGTACTTTATACAACGTTGATGCGCCCCAAGGCTATCTAAAACATTAAGTTTTTCGTCATGCATTGGTCAAGTGGAGACTCGAACAAACATAAGGATCGCCAAAGCCACATTAGGAAAATTTGCACGGGGTTATTTACCGAGGAACAGGCTTGACCACTTGTCATTGCCAGTACGCTCACAGTTATATCACGAGCTCCATTGCCTGATTGCAAAAGCCTGTAAGTCTTGGGCGCCGCATAAATATTGAAGGAAATGATCACTTGAGTTGCCTCTCGGATGAGCAGGGAGTGGGAATGTCATGTCCCGACAGAAGCATGTTTCGTCGCGCTACGCAGCAAGTGAGACAATTGGCAACCATAGCCGGTTTCGGAATGGTCGACGATAAGCAGTTTTTGGTCTGAGGAAGGCTTGCAGGGTGGCACCAGGATATAACACCTAGAGATCCAGGCAAAGAAATGAGGCAGCAAACTGGTGTTCTGAGGATCCAAGCTTTAATAACGATGGATCGGCGCCGCTCTCGGAATGGGCACACAAGGTCTTGCACATGTGCCTCCCCTCGGCCAGGTATCATGGCATATCCAGCGTTGGAGTGCAGCCTGAAAAGTCCTGCTATGGATTTTGACATTAACTAGATGGGGGGACAGCCTGAGACCCACGTAAGTGCGATCATCTAAACAGCATCTATACTTCACTTTTTAATCATTGGCCAGCAGTTTCTCGATAATATTTGCGCCGTACGCCTCGCTGGCAACCGGTTTATGGGATATTGCGCCATTTTCTTGTTTTTGTCATTTGTGGTTGTGTCATATTTCACCACGACTAGTTCTGATATCATGTCTATTTTTTACAGTCATTCGATTATCACTCTCGCCGCATATCCAACACTTTCGGGTGTTTTCTCCAGTTCCCAGGCGCTGCATGCTCTATTTCTCCCTTCCTTGGTGTTCTGCAACCCGCGCCGCTGCTACTCACCGGACCTATGTACAACTGCTGAACTGACCGTCCCACTTCTGCCGGCTTTGATAGCACGCTACCCCCGGGTCCTGCTGAAGCTGCTGCTGGCCCGCGTCCTGCTGAGGCTGCTGCTGGCCCGGGTCCTGCTGAAGCTGCTGCTGGCCCGGGTCCTGCTGAAGCTGCTGCTGGCTCGGGTCCGGCTGAAGCTGCTGCTGGCTCGGGTCCGGCTGAGACTGTTGCTGGCGGTCGTTCGGCTCGTGCAAGCGAGCATGCAAAGGGCCACTACTGAACGCCTCCTGCGGCTGCGGCTGCGGCGTGCATCTCAACGTTGGACGACCTCTGCTGACGTCATGCTTCCCAGCGAGGCCACTGACTGCTGCCACTCTATAATGTCCTGCTGCTGTCGTGGCGGTGGTGCTGCTGCTGCTCCCGCTGTAGCGTATCACGTTCCCGTTGGATGACATGTCTGTTGTCTGATCACGCTGACATGAGCATTGGTCCCTGTAACATATGAATCCAGCGCTGCTGCTGCTGCTACGCAATACTACCGCGGACCATGGCGCATGCGCAGCCACCCCCATCTGTCGCCAGACTGCCTTCCTTCTGATGTACTGCCCAGGCGCCAGGCGTCGCCACTGACCCATGCCGTTGCCGCGGTCCTGCAGTGCCCTCACCTAGTACGCCGCGTGTGGGGCAGGTGATCCCCTCGGGTGACGTAACCCGGCTACGAGGGTCACGCTCGCCGCCGACTGCAGCTGCTGCGTGACTTCGCCGGACGTCCCACCGACACCGCGGCAGCGCGCGCTGTGCGTGAGCAGCCGCCGAACACGGTGGCGGGGTTCCAACGCCCTGCTAATCCAGTGCGACTGCTGCACCCTGGCCACGCTGTGAGACAGCCAGCCGTTCCCAAGGATTGGGCAGAGGGAGGCGTCCATATATTACGTAACGTATGGAAGCTGAGTAGTTGCATATATTATCTTATGGATGGTCGTTCTCAGACCGTCCATATACTATGCTATGCATGAGATTGGGTTGCTTTGTTAGAGCGTACAGCAAGCGTAACGAGGAAAGAGGGTTGCTTGGACAGCATCAAATTACGCTCAACTGTACTTGCAAACCATGCTGAAGAAACTAAACCAATGTCTTTTGATGTTTTAGGGTCTTGAATCCGGAAACAACTGGCTATCTCTCATGACAAGCAGCATGCCCGTCTTTGTGTCACCTCACCAGCTGAATTAGGAGCCAAAAGGACATTTTTCTGTGGGGACGTAGCGCTTAACATGGGGTAACCAGGGCAAGGGATGTTTTCGCACAGCGTACCAGCGCGCAGCCAGTGTGAAGGGTGTTAAAAAGGGTTAAAAATATGAACGCAACTTATGGAAGGCTCCTCAGTATTTTGATATATTGTGCACGTGCCGTGTATGATTAAGTTCTATTCAGTTACGTCTTGAATAGTCACAGCTGCTTGTCATTACCAGACTACCACATCATCTTCAACAGCGGTTGCCTCCCTTCAAGTAAAGACCAACTTATCATTCATGCACTCCCAACGTGACATTTGATAGCGTCACATTTAACAACTGTATCGGATTATTCTGTTATTTACCGCGCTTTTTCATGCTACTTCCCTTAATCACCACCGGATGGCGCCAGACGTCCACCAAAAGCTGCGACGGCGCTGGGACAGCGTGGCAGCCGTCCGGGCTCCGGCTCAGGTCACCCCCCGACGGCGCTGGGACAGCGTGGCAGCCGTCCGGGCTCCGGCTCAGCTCACCCCCCGACGGCGCTGGGACAGCGTGGTAGCCGTCCGGGCTCCGGCTCAGCTCACCCCCCACCTCACAAAAACGACGCTCGGTGCCGCCGACAAATAGCGCCAGGACGGGCAGCGTGTGGTTAGCGCGAGGCCTGACACGTGCGTACATTTCTCGGGCGCCGCCGGCGGCGGCGTTTTTTGGCCACATTGTGCCCGGACGGACGGTGGGGCGGGTCGGAAGATGATTGGTCCCCGACGACCGGCGGAGGGTCGCTGTCGGGGAGCTGCCCGGATTGAGACGTCACTGCCTCTACAGCCGCTCAGGAGGCGGCAGTTCTTGCGAAGGATGGACTCTGGATTCCCGCGCTGAGGAGGTGGACGGTGCCATCGGCAAGGATTAAGTGTGCCGAGTGATTGCTGACTTTGTGATTTGATGCAA